TAGACAAACTTAGGCAGTTTTTCTTAAAAAAAAAAAAAAAAAAAATCTGTTCTTTTCTCAAAGATTTCCTCCTGGCAGGATTTCAGATTTCCCTCGTGGGACAGTGTAATTAGGGAATGATATCCCTGCTGTTCAGAGAGGAGAGTGACCCAGCTTTGCACACACCTGGCTTCCCTTGCCTTCCCCTTGGCCCAGTAGACCCCCGAGGGCTCTGCCCGTGCTCGTGGCGCAGAGGAGGGCATCTCAGCACTGGCGTGCTTGGAATCTGGAGTCACATAGCTCTTGGCTGTGGGGATGCCCTGTGCACCCCCTGCCCAGTGGTGACAGCCCAGAATATCTCCAGACTTGGCCAGGAGCCCCCTGAGGAGCAGAGGGGCCCTGAGTCCAGAACCTGTTGGAGGGTGGGAGCCCCATGGTAGCCTGCAGCTGCGCCACTAGTTCCTTTAGTCCAAGGATGGGGCCAGGCACTACCAGCTTCCAGCACCAGACCCTGCTGTGGGGGCACCTAGAGAGTTAACCTCGGTCTCCTGGTTTCTTCCCAAGAAGGCAGGTGGCATGGGCTTTTTCCTGCTCTGGGCCTGCTCTCTCCCCTGTCTTGGTGTCGCTGTCCTCAGGCTGCATGAGCCACTCCCCCTTTGTGTGCCCCTTGCAGCCAAGACACAGTCAGGATGGGGGACTCCAGCCGGAGGCACCCAGGAGAGCTGCCCTTGCTGCGCCTGGCAGGGGGCAGTGTGAGGCCATCACTTTAAGATTTTTTTTGTTTTGTTTTTTGAGACAGTCTTGCTCTGTTGTCCAGGCTGGAGTGTAGGGGCGCGATCTCGGCTCACTGCAACCTCCGCCTCCTGGATTCAAGCGATTCTCCTGCCTCAGCCGCCCAAGTAGCTGGGATTACAGGCACCTACCACCAGGCCCGGCTAATTTTTGTATTTTTAGTAGAGACGGTTTTGCGATGTTGGCCAGGCTGGTCTCAAACTCCTGACCTCAGGTGATCTTCCTGCCTCGGTCTCCCAAAGTGCTGGGTTTACAGGCATGAGCCACCACGCCTGGCCGCTTTTTCTTTTTAAAAAAATGTTTAGAGTTGTTTCTGTAGAGTCATGGTCTTGTTCTGTTACTCAGGCTGGTCTCGGACTTCTCTCTCCAAGCCTCCCACAGTGCTGGGATTATAGGTATAAGCCATTGTGCTGGCCACGTGGTCCCTTTTCTGTTCTGCCCTCTCCCACCCTCATGCCTGCAGGATGAGCTTCTGGCCTTCTAGAAGGAATGAACTGGAGGAGGCTCAAAACAGCCTCTCCTGAGGCTGATTTGAAGGAATGTAGGGTGTTTTTCTTGGAGTGGGGAAAACTTAGGTATGCGGTGGTTATCTCCAGATACCTTTTGTTCCCTAAAGCTTTTTTTAAAAAGTGATTATTGTGGTAAAATATACAACAAAATTTGGATACTTTAACTGTCTCTAACTGTGCTGTTCTGTGGCACTGAGTACACTCACATTGGTGTCTGGCCCTGACTACCAGCGGCCCCAGGATCTGTTCCTCAGTTGAAGTTCTGGGCCCTTCAGCAACAGTTCCCTGTCCCCTCAGCCCCTGGTGACTGCCCTTCTACCTTCCTCCCTCAGTGCCTCCTCTAGAGACCTCATGAAAGAGAAGTAAGGTCTAACTCTCCTTTTCTGGCTGGTCTGTTTCACTTAGCATCATGTCCTCAAGTCTCATCCAGTCCCCAGATTGCTCTAGGAGGCCACCTGCAGTCAGTGACAGGCTGGTGGCTTTGCGCGGTGTGGAGCACACCACCACCGGAGCATCCAGCCGAGGCTGAGGAGGGAGAGGCCCCAGGGGAGGCCACCCTGGCCCTGGGTTGCCTCTGAGCCCTGTGGTTCCCCCTGGGGTGCTGGGACTCTGAGCAGGCCTCAGCATGTCATGGGCTGCTGGCTCAGCTGGGGCTGATGGCCTTTCCCCCTTAGCACCCTGGTGGAACCCCCTTCCTCTTCTTTCCCAGACTGTGGCGTCCTGGAGTTGATGGGAGCTGCAGCACCAAGCCCGGCCAGCCTCCCTCCCAGCCAGTGACAACAGCTCTGCAGCGCCTGGACCCCGCCCACCCGCCTGAGTCCTCTGCCCGGGTCCCCAGGGATGCGCCTCCTCCTGAGAGTCCCCTCCATCGTCCCTTAGAGGAACAGGCTGCCGCTGCACCCCCACCAGCCTCCATTGCCCTGACCTTATTTCCACCTGATGGTGCCAGAGGCTGCTTCCCAGCCGGTATCCTGAGATCCTCGTTCCCTTGGTGGCTTGGTTGTTTCAGCCTCCGTTCTTGATTGGGGGGCGGTGGTCTGGGTGTGATTCCTGTGGGGGAAACCAGCCCAAGGTGCCTTGGCTCAGGCTTGCCTGGAGCCTCGTCATGTACCCGTCTGTGGCCCTAGAATCACCTCTTGCTCCTTTTCAGTGGGTTTCTCCCCAGACCAAGCCCCTGGATTTGAGCTTCTGAGCAGCCAACTGTGATTTTTTTCATAAAGGAAAGAATTTTGCTCCTAGATTTATTTCTAATCCTTCTCTCCGTAACTGACCTTTTCTCTGTAGGCTATTTGTGGCTCTAGTGAGTTTTTGCTTGCTTGCTTGTTTTTGTTTTATCTTTGTCCTGAACATCCATCCTGGCCTCGGCTGCCTCCCTCCCTGAGTTCTGCGCTGCACCTCCTGTCTCAGCCTCCCAGAGAGGGTGGTGAGGGTGCTGATGCCCAGAGATACCACCCGGCGAATGGACTTCTCCCGTCATGCAGGGCAGGGCAGGGCTGCCAGCAGAGCCTTGTCCTGAACCCTATCTCCTCGCCTCTGCTCTCCTTAAGGGTCTTTCCCAGATGTGAAGGTCGCTCCCAGGCTCTACTGAGGCCAGACCAATTCCCAGTGGCTTGGGGACCCTCGTTCACTCCAGCACCAGCCCCTGCCCTCCTGCTTCCTGTGCCAGGCTGCCAGGTGAGCCCTGGGCCGAGGGAGGTTGTCCCACGGAGGCCGGAAGGACTCGAGCTTCCCATCTCCTCGCCTCCCCCAGGTCTTTCACCGTCTGGACTCATCTCTGGGTAACTCATGGTGTGAGTGGCCACGTGGCTGGCTCAGGTGAGTCCTTTTAGACCCCAGGTGACCCACCAGCTAGTCCAGGGCGCATTGCCATGCCAACCAGGATGTACCCCGGGGTGTCCTCCCTGCACTTGAAAGGTCTCCTTCGTGTGCTGTTCTCCATGGCCCCGTTCCCCCACAGGTGTTTGGAGAGTGAACGTCAGGTCCCCTCCTCCCCACCCCCGGCCTCTCAGAAACACGCCCAGCCCCACGATGGCAGCAGAGACACTCAACTTTGGGCCTGAGTGGTGAGTCACATGTGCCTCGGCTGCCGTGGAGATTTGGGAAAGCACAGTCAGGGTGCCCTGACCTGTCTTCTTCTCTCTGTGTCGTGTCCAGGCTCAGGGCCCTGTCTGGGGGCGGCAGCGTGGCCTCCCCACCTCCATCCCCTGCCATGCCCAAATACAAGCTGGCTGATTACCGCTATGGGCGAGAGGAGATGCTGGCCCTCTACGTCAAGGAGAACAAGGTGGGTGCATGGGCGAGGGTTGTTGGCGGCGGTGGTCTCTGCCCATGGAGGGGATCTGGCAGCATGTGGTGTCTTGGCTGTCCCACCCCACCGCCAGGTCCCAGAAGAGCTGCAGGACAAGGAGTTTGCCGCGGTGCTGCAGGACGAGCCACTGCAGCCCCTGGCCCTGGAGCCGCTGACTGAGGAGGAACAGGTGGGGCCAGGCCAGGAGCTGAGGCTGCGGGGGCCCGGGAGGGGTGGCCGTGAGTCGGGCTAGGAGGAGAGGGGGGCCAGTGCTGGGGAGACAGGCCGGGAGGGTGCTGTGGGGTGGGAGTGGGGGTGGTCAGGTACCTGGGTCCTCACTCCCGCCCCTGGCTCCCTCCTCAGAGAAACTTCTCCCTGTCAGTGAACAGTGTGGCTGTGCTGAGGCTGATGGGGAAAGGGGCTGGCCCCCCCCTGACTGGCACCTCCCGAGGCAGGGGCAGCACGCGGAGCCGAGGTAGAGGGGTGATGGCGCCGGGGGCGGGCAGATCAGGGCCCCTGACTTCTAGGACGTGCAGCAGGTTTCAGTGTGCATCTGGCCTCTTATCTAGGCCGTGGCCGCGGTGACAGCTGCTTTTACCAAAGAAGTATCGAAGAAGGTGATGGGGCCTTTGGACGAAGCCCCCGGGAGATCCAGCGCAGCCAGAGCTGGGATGACAGGTGGGGCCAGGAGGGGGTGTGGCATAGAGCAGGGCAGGCCAGGGAGGGAGGCCTGGTTCCTGTTGCTAGAGGGTAACAGAGGCCTACCAGATAAGCCCTGTCAGAGATCCCTGTTCTCCTGACCCCTGGTTTCCTCTGTCCCCTCTCTCCCTCCACTGCCTCAGGGCACAGTGGACAAGGCATGGGGCGGTCGCAAAGGGTGGGTGGGGAGGCTGTACTGTTTTTGACCCACACGTTTCCCCTCCTGCAGAGGCGACAGGCGGTTTGAGAAGTCAGCAAGGCGGGATGGAGGTACGAGGTTGCTGAGGGCAGCGGCCGGGGCAGCGGGGAGGATCAAGATGGGTGGCCCAGTCTGAGGGTGTTTATTTCAGAGGTGCTGGGGGCAGGAGGGCCTGGAGCTGGCCCCCCACGTTTCCTGAGGGTCCAGGTACCACGCTGCCTTTCTGATAACTGCCCCTCTCTTCCATCTCCCAGCACGATGTGGGTTTGAGGAGGGAGGGGCTGGCCCAAGGAAGGAGCATGCCCGCTCAGACAGCGAGAACTGGCGCTCCTTACGGGAGGAGCAGGAGGAGGAGGAGGAGGGCAGCTGGAGGCTTGGGGCAGGGCCCCGGCGAGATGGCGACCGCTGGCGCTCCGCCAGCCCTGGTGAGATTGGGGCCCAGTAGCATTGGTGGGGGCAGTGGGGAGCAGGAACTGTCATGAGAGGGTGGGCTCCTGTAGCCCCTGGGAGGTAGCAGAGGCTGGCTGGTGTGGGAGTGGCTGGGACAGCAGCCCTGGAGGTGCTCCATGAGCTGCAGCAGAGAGGGCCGCCAGCTTCGCTTGGGTACCCACTCTTCTTCTCCCTGACTTTTCCTGCGCAGATGGCGGTCCCCGCTCTGCTGGCTGGCGGGAACATGGGGAACGGAGGCGCAAGTTTGAATTTGATTTGCGAGGGGATCGAGGCGGGTGTGGTGAAGAGGAGGGGCGGGGAGGGGGAGGCAGCTCTCACCTGCGGCGGTGCCGAGTGCCTGACGGCTTTGAGGAGGACAAGGATGGGCTCCCAGAGTGGTGCCTGGACGATGAGGATGAAGAAATGGGCACCTTTGATGCCTCTGGGGCCTTCTTGCCTCTCAAGGTATCTGCGAGGAGGCGAGGGTGGGAACCTGCCCTGCTGGGGTCCTCTTCCTCCTCACCCACCCAGCTGTTCTCTGCCCCCCACCCCTGCCCCATGCAGAAGGGCCCCAAGGAGCCCATTCCTGAGGAGCAGGAGCTGGACTTCCAAGGGCTGGAGGAGGAGGAGGAGCCTTCCGAAGGGCTAGAGGAGGAAGGGCCTGAGGCGGGTGAGCCTGTGGGGTGCCCAGTGGGCCTGGGGCCAGGCCAGACTGGCATGGGGGTTCTTTGCCAGGCTGGGCACTTGCTGCCCACCTACCTGTAGGATCAGGCTACTTAGAAGTGGAAGAAGAGTGTTGAGAGGTGGGGAGGAACCAGGGGTTAGCAGAGCCATGTTTTCAAGGCAGTGTACCAGATAGAAATCAGGCATAATCAGAATGACCTTTGAAAGTCCCTTGAAGAAACTGCAGAACCTGGGGTGAAGTCTGCGGGGTTGTATGGTGGTGTGCAGTGTTGATACGTTCCTGCTGCGTCTGGCACATGGAGGCAAGGGTCAGGGCACCACATTCCCGCTCCACCATTAGTTGAGTTGACCCAAGTGAAGTGGTGGACTTGGCCCCGGGGGAGGGTGACCCGCGGGTCCAGCCACACACTCAAGGGCTTGTGCTCACTCGCGTGGCAGGCCCAGCCCTTGGTTCTGAACTCTGGCCATCTTCCTCTTCTAGGTGGGAAGGAGCTGACCCCACTGCCTCCTCAGGAGGAGAAGTCCAGCTCCCCGTCCCCACTACCCACCCTGGGCCCACTCTGGGGGACAAACGGGGATGGGGACGAAGCTGCGGAGAAAGAGCCCCCAGTGGCCGAAGGTAGGAAGGAAGGATGACCTACCTCCCGGGTGCCCTGGGGCTGTGAGAGAAAGTGGTCCCCTCTTGTGGGGGTGGGCACACAGGGCATTCACATTGAGGAGCCATGGCAAGAGCTCAGTGTTCTGGAGTGAGGGTGGGCGGAGGCTATCTTGTCTCCTTGCCGCCCTCCCTTCCACTTCCTGTCCTCATGCCTTCCAGATGATATTCGGGGGATCCAGCTGAGTCCTGGGGTGGGCTCCCCTGCTGGCCCACCTGGAGATCTGGAGGATGATGAAGGCTTAAAGCACCTGCAGCAGGTGTGGGGGCCTGAGAAAGTGGGAGGGACCCTTCACACTTCTCCTGACCACCTGACCTGCTTGGCCCCGGCCCCGGCCCCAGCTCAAGCTCCATCCCCATCCCAAGCTCCATCCCCATCCTGATGGTGCTGAGATTGGCAGCTGAGACTTTCTTCTCTTCCTGGGCTTCCAGGAGGCGGAGAAGCTGGTGGCCTCCCTGCAGGACAGCTCCTTGGAGGAGGAGCAGTTCACAGCTGCCATGCAGACCCAGGGCCTACGCCATTCTGCAGCCGCCACTGCCCTCCCGCTCAGCCATGGAGCTGCCCGGAAGTGGTTCTACAAGGATCCGCAGGGCGAGATCCAAGGTACTTGTGTGGGATGGGAGGGCTGCTCAGGGCCATTCTGGTTCAGGGTGTCTCTGGCCTACCCTGTGACCACAGTGGTTCTCCTGCTCCCTTGCTCCCTGTCCAGGCCCCTTCACGACACAGGAGATGGCAGAGTGGTTCCAGGCTGGCTACTTCTCCATGTCACTGCTGGTGAAGCGGGGCTGTGATGAGGGCTTCCAGCCTCTAGGCGAGGTGATCAAGATGTGGGGCCGTGTGCCCTTCGCCCCAGGGCCCTCACCACCCCCACTGCTGGTGAGCCGCCTCTCCCCTGCATGGAGGGACAGGGTATAAGGGGTGCGGGCAGGAGTCCAGCAGAGTCCCCTCTTCGCTGCTGCGGGCACTGGCCGAGCTCTCACCCGAGCAGGGAAACATGGACCAGGAGCGGCTGAAGAAGCAGCAGGAGCTGGCCGCGGCTGCCTTGTACCAGCAGCTGCAGCACCAGCAGTTTCTTCAGCTGGTCAGCAGGTATGGGGGGCCTGGGGTGGGTTGGGAGAAGGCCCGGAGCTGGCTCTGTGGCCCACCACCTCCACTGTCCCATTTGCAGCCGCCAGCTCCCACAATGCGCGCTTCGAGAAAAGGCAGCTCTGGGGGACCTGACGCCGCCGCCGCCGCCGCAGCAGCAGCAGCTCACGGCATTCCTGCAGCAGCTCCAGGCGCTCAAACCCCCCAGGTTCGTGGCGCATGCTAGCCCTCAGGATACAGGGTAGGGAACGGGGACAGACCAGAGATGGATTTGGGGTCCTGAGAATCCACGATTTGCTCCTCAGAGGCGGGGACCAGAACCTGCTCCCGACGATGAGCCGGTCCTTGTCGGTGCCGGATTCGGGTCGCCTCTGGGACGTACATACCTCAGCCTCATCACAGTCAGGTGTGTGGCCTGCCTGGCCCCCACCCCCAAGGCAGTCTCCGGGTGAACTGGGGTCCGGGGTCTGCTCCCCACCCTTGCACCCCTAGTTGTCATTCTGGCTGGGGAGCCCACTGCTGCGGCTGGACTGGATCAGTGGGCCCAAGTGCCTACCTGCAGCTGCCTCTGCCCCCTGCCCCCTGCAGGTGGTGAGGCCAGTCTTTGGGACATACCAATTAACTCTTCGACTCAGGGTCCAATTCTAGAACAACTCCAGCTGCAACATAAAGTGAGTAGGCATCCTGGGGCTGAGGCCCTGGGAATGAAAGGGTGGACCGAGGCAGGCTCCAAGCTGTCCCCTGCAGCTCTCCCCTGACCAGCCACTGGTCTCAGTTCCAGGAGCGCAGAGAAGTGGAGCTCAGGGCGAAGCGGGAGGAAGAGGAACGCAAGCGCCGGGAGGAGAAGCGCCGCCAGCAGCAGCAGGAGGAGCAGAAGCGGCGGCAAGAGGAGGAAGAGCTGTTTCGGCGCAAGCAGGTGGGTGCTCCCGCGCCTCAGCTGGCTGGGGAGAGAGCCCTCGTCAGGTCCCCTCACTGTGTCCCCCTCTTAGGTACGGCAGCAGGAGCTGTTGCTGAAGTTGCTACAGCAGCAGCAGCAGGCAGTCCCCGTGCCCCCCGCGCCCAGCTCCCCGCCCCCACTCTGGGCTGGCCTGGCCAAGCAGGGGCTGTCCATGAAGACACTCCTGGAGTTGCAGCTGGAGGGCGAGCGGCAGCTGCACAAACAGCCCCCACCTCGGGAGCCAGCTCGGGCCCAGGCCCCCAACCACCGAGTGGTGAGCAGGCCAGGAACCTCCCAGGACCCCCCCATGCGGTTTCCAGGGTGGCATAGGGAGGGGGATCACTAAGCCCAGACTTGTGCAGCCCAAACCCCAGCCTCTCCTGTGATGGCAACAGCTCTTGTGGCCCTCGCCTCACCCCTCTCCCTTTGCCACCTAAACAAGCCTCCCTGTCTGCTTTTCTGGGGTGCCTTTCTTTGAGCCACTCTGATCTTCTGCCATCTGTAGCAGCTTGGGGGCCTGGGCACTGCCCCCCTGAACCAGTGGGTGTCTGAGGCTGGGCCGCTGTGGGGCGGGCCAGACAAGAGTGGGGGCGGCAGCAGCAGCCTGGGGCTCTGGGAGGACACCCCCAAGAGCGGCGGGAGCCTGGTCCGCGGCCTCGGCCTGAAGAACAGCCGGAGCAGCCCATCTCTCAGGTGGGCGTGGCACCTGGAGGCTTGGGGTGGCCCTGGGAGGGAAGGTGGCAGACTCTCCCGCCCCCCGTCAGCTGATTTCCGACCCTGACTCACCCACCCCCTTCAGTGACTCGTACAGCCACCTATCAGGTCGGCCCATTCGCAAAAAGACGGAGGAAGAAGAGAAGCTGCTGAAGCTGCTGCAGGGCATCCCCAGGCCCCAGGATGGCTTCACCCAGTGGTGTGAGCAGATGCTGCACACACTGAGCGCCACAGGCAGCCTGGACGGTGCGTGAGCGGCTCCCAGGAAGTGGGTGGGGCCTGGGGCTCCAGACCTGGCCAGGGGGCCCTGACAGCCCTCGCTCATCCTGCAGTGCCCATGGCTGTAGCGATCCTCAAGGAGGTGGAATCCCCCTATGATGTCCATGATTATATCCGTTCCTGCTTGGGGGACACGCTGGAAGCCAAAGAATTTGCCAAACAATTCCTGGAGCGGAGGGCCAAGCAGAAAGCCAGCCAACAGCGGCAGCAGCAGCAGGTGAGGCACCCGGCACCAGTAGCTGGGGTGGGCTTGCCTGGCACTTCTTGACCTTCACCCTCCTCTCTGTTGCCTTAGGAGGCGTGGCTGAGCAGCGCCTCCCTGCAGACGGCCTTCCAGGCCAACCACAGCACCAAACTCGGCCCCGGGGAGGGCAGCAAGGCCAAGAGGCGGGCACTGATGCTGCACTCAGACCCCAGCATCCTGGGTGAGCTGGGCTGGGGCAGGAGCGGGACTTCCTTGGCACAGGGCAGGAGGAGCCCAGGAGAGAGCTCAGACCCAGCTTCTCCCCGGCTTCAGGGTACTCCCTGCACGGATCTTCTGGTGAGATCGAGAGCGTGGATGACTACTGACCAGCCCGGACCCCCAGCCCCTGGGCTGTAGGCCAGGGCGGCTGCGGCGGCATGGACCGAGGGTCCCAGCCTGCAGGCTCCCCACAGGGAGCAGAGGAGGAGGCAGGGGCGGGGTCCCCAGCACTTGTTACAAACACACGATGCACCTTAACTCACCCACCACGAGGCACTTTACAGACTGGGGGAGGGGGTTTTCTTTTTATTATTTTTTTTTAATTTTAAACGACTTTGAAGAAAAGTTAGGAGAGGCAAAAATATTGTTAAAAACTAGACTCTAAACACCCCTTCCCGCTGTGAGGATAGTGGGTGTGACGATGGAAGGTCCACAGAGGATTTTTGTTTTTTGTTTTTTTAAGAAAAAAGATGAAAAATGAAAAAAAAATGGTTAGGAGGCTGAAAGAAAAAACACACTGTTATTTTGGGGCAGTGGGGACACAGGCCCCGTGGACCTGTCCTGCCTGGCCCCCAAGGCCACACTTACCCCCCCGGAAGGTGGGCCATGGGGTAACTGGAGGCTGAGGGCCAGCAGTTTGCACAGGAGGCCTGTCTGAGCCCCGCCCACTGGACCCGCTGTGAGCAGCTCCTTTCGCCAGGGCTGGCTGAGGTGTCCGGGGTGGGGCCAAAGTAGCCCCTTGGCTTCGCTGCTTTGGGGGACAGTTGCACAAATTGGAAGAGCTGCCCCAGCTCTCTGGCTGCCATCCTGTGCTGGCCGAGTAGATGGGAGGGGCCAGGCTGTGCCAACCTCTCTGGCTGGCAGGGTGGGGCAGCAGGACTCTGACTCTGGCCCTGGTGAGGGGCGTCCCCCACCGCTGCCATTTTGGGGGACACCCTGCGTTTGAACCTGAAAGCCCCAGCTCTCTGCCTTGCCACGTGAATGTATTCTTTGGGCCGCAAGCCCCCACCTCACCCCTGCCTGGCTCCTGCCTCACCTCTGTGAGCGGCGGGGGTGGATGATTGCTCCGGAGGCTGCAGAGAGAAGGCTGAGCTGTTTCTCCCGTGAAGGGGGCAGGAGGAGGGGCCTCAAAGGCAAGGAGTGGGTGGCTTTGGGCTTAGGGTTGCAGTGGAGGGGCTGCCACCTGGGGCCCCAGCCTGCAGCCAGCTTGTGAGGTATGGACCACCCAGCTCTGCACCTGACCCCTCTGCCGACCAAATGGGAGAGGAGCAGGAGGTCTCCCGGGTCTGATATGATGCGCTTTTTACCGTTGGGTAAGGTTGGGGTGAAGAGAAGCGTGCGGCTCCTGGGTCAAGGGAAGCTGCCCCTTCTATTGCTCACCCACTTATTCCCAGTCCCCTGCTTGGGTTCCTCTCTACCCATTTTGGGTTTTGTAAGTTTTGTCTTTTGGGTTTCTCATCCAGCTCCTCCCATTGACCTCATTGCTCAGAGTGCAGTATTAGGGCAAGGCTCCGCCACTGCCTCCCTCCATGAATGTATTTCTCCCTCCTGCCCTGGGGACGTGGGGAGTGGCCCCTTTCTTTCCCCATCTAGCCCCAGAAAGATGGTGTTTGGTTTTTTGTTGTTAGGGTTTTTTTTGTTTTATTTTGTTTTTTTTTTTTTTTTT